ACATCTCCCATGCATAAACTAATAGCCTAATAGTATGTCCAATAAAGATATCTCATTTCCATTTTTGTTGTTACACTTTTAGAAGTGGGCAAAAATAAAAGAAAGTTAACTAGGAATAGACAAGAAAGTTAAAACTAGAAATTTAATACACCATTTAGTAAATTTAGCAAACAATCACTAGTGTAGCACAGAGTTTCTCAGAGTAAAATTGGAATATCAATGGAATCACATTATTAATGATGTACAACAGAGACGCTAATGATTCAATGTCAATGGTAAAGAAGAAAATCTCGAAACATTAATTCAAGAAATATTATAATTCTGTATAACATAAAATGCTCACCCTGATCCCCGATTTAATAAAGGGGAAAAGAAAAGAATAAAGCCAATGAGAAGAGTTTGGGTCAATTGGGGGCTCATTTCAACATGCGAGCTCCTTTTTCAGAATATAATCTACGGCTTCTTCCACTGTGTCAACGACCTACAACGGCAACAACAAAATTTTAGGAAGATGACGAGTCCTTTCCGCTATTTTGCATATTTTGCTAGCTATGTAATTCATCTCATTTCGAATCATATATGGCTAGCATGATGATGTTCCTGAAGGGAAGAGAAATGTGAACAACAAAGATGATCTATTTACTCTGATTATTCTGCAATAGTTCATCATATATTTGTATGCCTACCAGATCAGCTGGAAACTCAGGGTGATTATCCTTTCCCTTGAAGACCCCCGTCCTAGTCAAAATTGAAAACCAGGGATGGCCTGCCTGTAATAAAAGAAATAAAAGTATATGGCATCAAGCACTGGAAATATACAAATATAAGAGGTTACTCTTCCAATACCGAGGGACGAACCTGCCGTGCTCCTCTGATGTCAACTGAAGGATTGTCTCCAATCATATATAGTCTTTGAAAATCATGACTTCCAGAATTTGCAGAATCCACCACGTTATGATTGGGATGAAGAGATGAGACTAGCCGCTTCAACACATTTTCAGCATTCTTAAATACAAATGGGTTTGGCTTCCCAAAAGATGTATACTGCAGAGAATTGGTGTGAATTCTGCATAATCAAAGTAACATCACCATAAGAGCATGTTACATCAAAGGAAACTCAGATATTTTTACCACATGCTAGAGCTACACCTTCCTGCCAGGATAAACTTCAAGCCTTGGTAGATCAATTAATCATAACTTAACCAATGGGCCATTTCTTGAGTTTTTTGCCTGTGGTCTTACCTATTGAAGACAGATTCCAATGCAATTCTGAAGGCCCCCATCCCAAGACGTTCGGTAGGAAAAGCAGCCTACCTTTAATCGTTAGTATATTATTGCTACTTGTATAAAAAGATTGCACAAGAACTATTGAAAAGAAACTGAAGGTTGCATGAAAGTCAGGACAAGCAACTGATTTCTAAATATTACAGCATAACTAACCTGGTATTCAAGGTCATCATTTGCAAAATACAGATATGGCTGAGGTCCAAGTTCCCTCCCAGGAAGACCACCAGTTCTTAATATGTCACAAAGAACCTAATATCATCAGCCATTGTCACTTTACTCAAACTTGATGAACACCAAGCTAAAGAAATTCAACCCTATGATTAGTTCCTTGAATTCCTAACATCAAACACTAGACAGAATAAAATGGTCTGCTAAGAACAGCATGGTACACTACTTTTCAAAAACTAGCAGTTCATATCTTTTTGACTTTTCCTATAGAATAGTAAAGCCTGTGAGCTGGAACCATCTAGAGCAGGCTTTGTCTGGCCTGTGAAGCAATTCATTCAAGAAAACTTCTACAACTGGAAGGTCTTGGTTCATCAGAAGATGAAAATAATTTACACAGTGAAGTTCAAACTCTCATTTTTATTCGTTGATCCCTGATTGTGTTAAAAATGAAATTATCCAGCACTTCTATCTGGACAGATCAAATTCTATTGCCAAATGAACATGAAAATTTTGAAACAACTGAAATTTTAAGGTTACCTGAATGTCTCTGCTCCAGTCAACTGAATCACTGACAATAAATGCTGCCTGAACTCTCTGTGAATATATGCTACTTGCTTGAGTCATTCCCTTGATGCTGCTACTATTCTCACAAACAACCTCTTTGCTGATCCATTTCTTGTATGGAGCCAGTGGGTCAATGTTGTCAAAGAAGGATGCATACTCATCTATTGAAAGAACATTTCTGCAGATAAAGCAAAACACACAAGTAATTCACAAGAGAATAGAATGCATGTTAGATGGTCTTCAGGACTTGTTATTAACATCTAGACACAGACGCCAAAAGGGAAGCCAGGATAAACAGAGCAGAAGCTTACTGAAACCCATATTCAGACATAACTGCAGCTGGTTCACCTTTTCCCACAGCAACAATAAGTTCATTCTCAAACCTGTATTAGAAATATTAAAAAAGATGAGAAATAATAGATTCCTTCAATAAAAAAATTGACATTTTCTTATTTCTCAAAGCTCAGTGATGAATAAGGTGAAGTCTCCAAGTTAATAATTAAATTTCATATAAAATGTATATGCAGTTGTCTCTAAAGTTGCATTGCACAGTATCATATTTGCATTACTGCCTAGGAGGACATTCTCTTACCTAGTATATCATAGAGCATCATATAAGCCTTAATTCATGTATGACAACTATACACTAGGTAGTAGCATGTATGTACCCCTAATAATGTATTAGTTTTAGTTTGTTATGTAGCTTTATGGCCACTTATTCTACTATTTACCTTTAAAGAGTTACACCTTCAAAAGGAAAATAAACAGGGCAAGCTTGGTAACAACGTAGTAATCCTAGTTGGTTCAAATGCATACCTGTTCACCAGCTGTTTAAAAGGTGAATGGCCCTGCAGAACCTAGAGAAAAGAGTTGAACAATTGTTAATTCCAACATCAACAGAGCTTGATTTACCCCAAAGCGAAATAGACTTGAACAAGACAAAGTGAAGCACAAATCATTACACCTTTCCAGAGTACAAATATTTTCCCAAGTGGTACCTGTAAGGGAGAAACATTTACACCAAGGAGTTCCTTCAACTCAGAGGCTCTCTTGGATTCAGGGAAACCACCTCCTGAACAAATTAGAAAACAGTTTCTGATAAGAATTATGACTGTGCTTACCATTTTAAAACCTAATTATCAGTTAACATCGATCTCAATCCCCCATTCAGAAAAAGCATCCAACAATCCTAAAAGTACATGGTTCCAAAGGGCACAAGTACACTTAAAAAGAAGAAGAAAACATTATAACCCCCTCAGCCTGGAAATTAAGAGAAAGGCAATTATTATCAAGAAATAACCTTGAAAGCAGCGAGCAGAGGACTTACCATTTGTCAAGAAAATGTAAGGAATCCTCAAAGCACCTGCACACAAGATGGAACTTGTAACAAAATATTATGGTACCCATTAAAATCAACAAACACAAAAGAATTGATAAATCATAACTCATGAACAAATAACAAGTGATAGGAAAATAATCTTAGTTAATACAAAGAGTTCCAATTAAACAGTATGCATAATTTAGGAAAATAATCTTAGTTGATACAAAGAGTTCAAATTAAACAGTATGCATAATTTACACATGTGCATACCGGAGTCATCGTAAAGTCTTTTGAGTGCTCGTGGAGAGCCACCGACGGGGGAGTGACCGAGCAGGAGGACACCATCGATGTCGAACGCAATGCCAAATGCAGGTCTGCTACTTCAATCCAACACCAAAAAAAGAGAGTCGCGAATCACAGTCAACAAAAAAATTTAAGGAAAAACTGAGAATTCAGATTCAAGGACGAAAGATAGAGAGTCACCGTGTGGATTGTTCGGAGGAGAGTTCAGAGAATGATCGGGAAGCGGCGGCGAGGAGCGGCGGTAGTTGCTTCCTCGCTTGCGCCTGGGACGACTTCCTCAAGATTTGAAGATGAATCATTTTCTCGGGAAAATTCTCAGGAATCCACAGCCATGCGAAGCCCCGATAAATATGGAACCCTCCAATCACGCTGTGCCACGTATTTATTGTTCTTTTTCCTTTTTCTATCATTATTATTCATTGCAATGTATTACTAATAATTTTAATTTTAATTATACTAATAACTAAAAATTTTGAAACAGGCACTCGGGAGAGTGTCCTTATCAAAGTTTACACGATTCAACTCTAAATTTGTAGTGATTTAATGTCCAATATAGTTTTCAGACCAAAAAAAAAAAAAAAAAAATAAAATTTTCATATTATTTATTAACATTTACCTTTACTATTCAAGTTAAAAGTATATTTATTATATTTTTTAATATTGTTAATTTATATAAAAAAAATTTTAATATGTACCTTAAAAGTATTTTATTAGATGTGTATAAAAATATAAAAATTTATGTTAATTTTAATATTAGATAAATTTAATTAAATAATTAACAAATTAAAAATTAATTTTTATTTTTTAATACAAATTTATGATGA